TGAAACGCTGCTGTCCGGGCGAGACCACCTAAACCCCCGGAAACAAGGATGGAGCCCGCCCCTTGCACCTAGAAATCCAGCCCGCGAGGGACGCGTCTTCCCAACGTGCTAGATTTCTAGCTGCAGGGACGCAAGTCAGGAGAGAGACTCCCCCCGGCCCCCCGAGGCAGGCTGGAGCCGCGCAGCCCGGACCAGGGCTGGGGACCGGCCGCAGCCGGAACGGGCCTCCCCGGCTCCTCCCGGCGACCCCTACCCTGGTTGGCGCTCTCCATCTCGCCCAGGCCCGGAACCGTTGCGCGGCTACGGCAGAGGGGAAAACAACCACCGCTGCAGCTCCCCACTTGACGGTGCGACGTCACACGTCACCGACGCTCCCTTCCGGGCAGCAGACGTCATCAAGAGGCGGCGGCACACGCCCCGCCAAGAGGTAGGAAGTGCGAGTGGGGGAAGGCGCCGCCTCAACTTCGGGTTCCCGATGGACTCCTGAGAAGGGCGAGGGAGGGGCAGGAAGAGGCCGAGTCCGCTCAAATGAGCCGGGCGCGAAGGGGGCATTGGATTTTTTTTTTTTAAATGGTCAGCTGAAGATTTGCTTTGCTTGTTGATGTTGCGTGGCGTCGCCCTTTCCTTCCTCCCTGTTGGGGAGGAAGAGGGCTTCCACACAAGCAGAAAAGGCAAGGCTTTTTATCTCAAGCATTTCGTCCTCATGAACGTCCACCATGCAGACCTCACTGGGGGAATATTACAGTTGCATTTGGGAATCGGAAATACTATACGACATGGGTTAGACTGTTCCTCTTTGTCCTAATGTGATTTCCCCCCCCCCACTAGCATAGCCCCCTCTAGTGGCGATAGGACACAGCACCAGGATCACGGTCAACATTCTGAGTTTTAAGGCATTCTGCAGTTTTCAATTTTTTTTTTCAGGCTGTAGAGTTTATTAATTTAAAAAAATCCTGGAACTCCTAATTAAGAGGCAGAGCTCTACTGCTGGAAAATTGGCAATGTAACAAAACTTGTGCTGGATGTAATTTATTTATGCAAATGTATATATTAAAGTTATTTGGCTTTCACAAAAATAGATGCTCCAATTACTATCCCAGAAATTTCCTCCATTATGGGAAGTATAAAAAGGAAAGTCTGTATTGTAAATGCAAAATTAAAGGTCCCAATGTGCAAACAATGCTTGCATTTCACAGTTACCTGGGAAGTTAATGTTTTAACCAAACAAATCAATATTCTGTGGAGTCCTTGGGGTTCTCTGAGCTTATCAATCAATATCCAATGACCAGACGTGATTGCTGGGGGTGCCCCTGGCTTCATTCAAGTGACTTTTGGGGGGGGGATCTTAGGTTCTAATGAAACCCATCACATTCTCACAGAACCCAAAGGCACTTTGAAAAATCTCAGGTATTTAGCAAAGGTTGCACTCCCGGGTATGGCTGAGATCTTAATTTATGGGGTATCTCCAATTATTATTGTTGGTTGCACAGTCCACCAGATGTTTAGACTGGATTTGGCATTTTTGTCCACCTATCAAGTCCTTCCCAAGGACCTGGGATAGGCAGACATTGCTGTCTGATGGTGTGAAAGGCATCGTTGCAGGATGGAAGCAGTTCCAAGTAAAGCTGCCTTTTGCAATGGACTGGTGGTGGTTTTGTCAATGTCGACGGTCTTCAAGGGGTGCTTCAGATGTTTTGGGATTGCACCCAGGGCGCCTATTACTATTATTATT